GTGTCCCTGATCACAGAACCCGCCAGAACTTGTGAAAACCTCCCCACCGGCGTGGGCAGAGGAGACACTTTCAAAATATGTCATTCATCTTGACTTGCAGAGGCAGTTCACCCACCGGTCCGCTATAAACACCAGCAAAGGCTGGGGCTGCAGACTTCGGTCCTATGAGGTACGCTTTCCCACTTACAGGTAACGGGGGTGGCGGAGGGGCCGGCTTCTCAAAGTTACCCAAACACAGCCGGCGGGATCGCACTGGAAGCCCGGCCCCAAGTTGCCTTCGGCCGGCATCTCCCGGGAGCCGCTGTCGCATGAATGAATCGACTAGCCCGGCCGGGTTTCCCGTCCTCTGCGCTGCGCCGGCTCCGGGCGGCCCCGGAGGTGGACAAACTTTCCTGTTTCCCCCCCTTTGAGCGGAGAGGCGGCTCCGCCCCAAAGGAGGGTCCCGCGGGGAGCCGGGCGCGCACCTGTCCACCCCAGGGCTGGCCTGCTGTCCCCGGGGGAGGACCGACGTGCTAGATCAGTGTCCTCCCGACCTGGGGGGGCGGGGGGATCGGCGACTTCCTGGAGGGCAGGCACCTGCACCCCAAACTACAGACCAGTTTTGACTCCACTGCCCTGGCTTAACCTTTGGGGGGGCCCTCGAGCTCCGCGCGCGGGGGGGGGGGTGCTGCCCCAAACCTGACTCCCCCCCCCCCCTCGCAGGCACAGGGGAGGGGAGGCTGACGAGAGTTCGGGGCGCCCGTCGTTCCCGGGGAGACCCGATGTCCCAGCGCCCCGGCCGGGCTCGCCGCGCGGCCGGGCCTGGGAGGCGCGGCGCACCCCCGCCCGCTCCGCGCCGCCGCCCGCCCCGCACCGCCACCGCGAGGCCGCGCCGGGGACCGAGCCCGGGCGGCGGCTCCGCGCTCCCCTCCGCGCCGCCCCCGCCGCGGGCGGGGGACATCTCCCCGTCCCCCTCTTTCGCGCTCTCGCTCCCGTTCAGCGGGAGAGCCCGCCGAGCCGGGGAGGGAGCGAGGGAAGGGGTGGAGGTGGCGGGGGGAGGCCGGAGGGGCGGATCCTGCCTGGGGGCTGATCCCTCCCTCCCCTCGGCCGGGCTCCGTGGCGGCGGCGACGGCGGCAGCGGCGGCTCCATTCCCCCTCCTCCCCCGGGAGCGGCGGCGGCGGCCGGGCTGGGGCCCAGCGCGGGCCGGGCGGGGGCACGCTGCGGCCGCGGAGGCCGGCGCGGGAGGAGGCCGCGCTCCGCTCCCCGGGCCGCGCCGTCCTGCTCCACGGCCGGCCGGCCCGCGCCCAGGATCCCCGAACGTTGGGGCCGGGCCGGTGGCTGAGGTAATGGGGGCGGCAGCGGGGCCAGACGGAGCGGGGGCGGGCGCGGGGGCGGCGGGGCCTACGGGGTCCCGGGGCTGCGCGGGTGCGGGAGGGGAGCGGGGGGCTTTCCGAGCAGGGCGCGGGCGGGCGAAGCCCTCTCCCGGAGCGGGGACGGCGGCGGGGGCGAGGCAGGCGGGCGAGGGGGGAGCGGAGAAGCGAGGACCCCCTCCCGCAGCCGCCATCTTGTTTTCCCCCGGCCCTGGAAGCGGAGCGCCCGAGCCCCGCCCCCGTCTCGCTCTCCGATTGGCCAGGCCTGAGGGGAGTCCCGCCCCCTGAGCGGCCCTGGGCGCTCCGGTTTCCCCTAAGCGGCAGGTGAGGTGGCCAATGGGGGCTCGCCTCTGCGCCGCTGCGTCCCCGGTGCCAGCTCTCGGTCCGAGGGTCACACTCGCGTCAGTCCGTCTGGCGCGCTCGCCCCCTCCTCCGCGGGGAGGCGATATATGTCCCCCCTTCTCCTCTGAGGGGTCAAGCCAGCGCCTCCTGGGAATGGTGCCCCTTTGTAGGGGCAGAAGCCTTGGCTGCGGTCCTCGTCTCACGAGTACCTCCTGAGGGGCGCAGGGGTACAGTCTTCTTGCAGAAACCCCTCAGTCCCTGGGACCTGGGTGGCGTGGACCATGGGGTCCCGGGAGATGTCGGGAAGACCGCTGGGGGTGTTAGAGATGCTTGGCGGTGTGGCTGTGGGGAGGGTTGTGTGGGATGAGAAACTCCCGCCAAAAAACGACGGTAAGCTCCTTGTGGGCGAAACTCACCTCGTTCTCCTCCCTCAGCGGCAGCCCTTTCCCCTCAGTCTGCCCCTCGGGGTCCAGAAGCTGGGGGGGCACGGAAGAGGTCTCCCCACCGCCTGGTGGGGAGATTCCTGAGCTGCTGGGAGGTAGGAGGGAGGGAGGGGGAAGGGGGGAAGGTAGAGTTGCATCGGAGGGGCCACAGCCTCTTTAAACTGTTGGAAGCTAGCGATGAGGTGGGTGCCCACGCCCGCCTAGGGGTCTCCCGGCCCCAGGGGAGGAGGCTCTTGGCCCAGGCTGCCCCCAGGGAGTTGGCATTTATCAGGCATGTAGCGGCCAAGGGCCTCTGGAGTCCGGACAGATGTGATGCTTGTTTGCTTTGGCTCCAGGTAGGCTGTGTGCCTGCCTGCCTGGCCGTGTTCGTTTTTTTAATAACGTTTCAGTCGCACTTTGGGATTGGAAGGCCTTTTATTTTATTATTTTTTAAGTATATATTTCAAAGAAAAGGGAGAGAGAGAGAAACATCAATGATGAGCGAGAATCATCGATTGGCTGCCTCCTGCTTGCCCCACACTGGGGATCGAGCCCACAACCTGAGCATGTGCCCTGACTGGTATCGAACCTGGACCCTTCAGTCTGGAGGCCTCCGCTCTTTCCACTGAACCAAACCGGCTTAGGGCGTGGAAGGCCTTTTAAATGAGGATCTTAATACCTTACTAACGAATAGCTGCCCTTAAGAGGTAGATGTTACTGTTTTTGTTTTATTGATGGAGTATAGAGGCCCAGAGAGATTAAGTGACTTTTTTTTCTGGTCATCAAGGGGCAAGATTAGAGCCTTTTTTTTAAACCAGACCAAGGCACCTCTGTGGTGTTCCTACCTCCTAGTAAGTCAGATAAGGTGAGCAGGTCAAAGATCTGGGTTTGAATGTAGCTTTATCACTTGGGTTGAGTGACATCTTTCAGATATTATCTCCATCTGTAAAATGCCTCCCAAACTGGTTGTGAGAAAGATTAAAAGTGAAAGGGCCTTGTTTGTTAAAGTGTGCTAATCATCACCGTCACCATCTCTGCTTTATAGATAGGGATGGTAGGTCCTTCCACCAAGGTGACAAACTGTTTTTCTCCTTGAAATCCTGTCCCTGTTCATACCCTTTCAAATCACCCTCACCCTAGGCATATCCCCAGAGATCTTTCCTGGTAGTGATGGCCTCACTAACTGCTTGCCACAGGCCCTTTGAGCTTGACATAGTTCCCTCCTTCCAGAGAACGATGTAGAAGACTTTAGGGCTCTCTCTTGGCTGCACAGGGTAGGCTAGATATAAGTGCTTTGGAAACAGAATGCATTGACAGTTTACCTCAGATATTGCCCCAAGCCTTAGGTCTAGTGAAGGGCCCAGGTAGCTGAGCTTACAGCTTCAGTGCCACTTGGGGCCACTTCCAGAGCTTCTCTCTGATGTACTAGTCAGTGCATCCTGAATGCTGCCTTTTGCAGATAAAACCCTGAAGACTGTAGTTTGAAATCTTTAGACTACATGAGATAGACATTTCATATGCCTTCACCCCTTCATCCCTGGGCAGGGTCAGGGGATAGGGTTTCTGATCATAGTAATGCTTGGGAGAGGGCTCTAAACCTGTGAGTTGTTCATCCTTGGATGGGACTGTGCATGTTCAGAGCTTGAAAATGTATGCAGATCTTGTTTTCTGAAGTCATAACTGCCCCTCCTTTTCCATAGATAGCTGTCCCACAGCCTTATGTTGCATTGTAATGAACTGTTTACTTTTCTGTCCCTTCAGTCAGACAGAGCTTTAGAAGGCAGAGATCGTGCATGTTTGATTTCTCCTTTTGTTCAACTATTATTCAGGAGCCAGGCACCATTCCAGGCGCTGGGGATATAGTGAACAAGACAGGCAGAAATCCCTCCCCTCCTGGAGCTTACATTCTAGTGGGAGGAAGCAAACATCTATACTAATAAAAGGGTAATATGCTGATTAGACCAGGAGACCTTCCAGACAAAGCCATGGTGGTGGGGCCAAGGCAGAGGTGGGTAGGGGTGATCAGGCCAGAAGGGGAGGACAGTTGGGGATTATCAGGTTGGCTGAGGGTCATTGGTGGGTAAGTAGGGGGCAGTTGGGGGTTATCAGTCTGGCAGGGAGGCATTTGGAGGCAAGCAGACCAGCAAGGGGGGCAATTGGAAGTGATCAGGCCAGCAGGCAGAGTGGTTAGGGGTGATCAGGCAGGCAGGCAGGTGAGAGCAGTTAGGAGCCAGCGGTCCCGGATTGCAAGAGGGTGCAGGCTGGGCTGAGAGATACCCCCATGTGCATGAATTTCATGATAAAGAGGTAAATTCCACAGCATAGTAAAAGATGGTGAGTGGTATAGTGAAAAATAAAGCAGAATGAAAGGTTGTGGTAGAAAAGAGGGATTTGCAGTTAAACACACACACACACACACACACACACACACACGCATGTGTTTTTATTGGTTTCAGAGAGGAAGGGAGAGGGAGAGAGAGACTGAAACATCAATGATAAGAGAGCATCATTGATTGGCTGCACCCCCCTACTGGGGATCGAGCCCCCAACCTGGGCAGGTGCCCTTGACTGAAATTGAGCCCAGGACCCTTCAGTCTGCAGGCCGACACTCTATCCACTGAGCCAAACTGGCTAGGGCTGGATTTGCAATTTTAGAGAGCGTGGTCAGGGAATTCTCACTGAGCATCATGTTTTCGGAAAGACTTGAAGGAGGTGAAGAAGTAAACCATGGGGACATCTAAGGGACAGAGTAGTGTGTAGACAGAAGGAGTATTCAGTCCTCTTTCTTGGTGGCCGCTTGTTCAGGTGGAAGGGTGAATGAGTGCATCCACCTCACGGTCTCCTTGGCTTCTCTCCTTAGGCCTGTCCCCCTGTTTCCCAGGTGCCATGAGGAAGCCTCGCCAGAAGTCACGGCAGAATGCCGAGGGCCGGCGCTCCCCATCCCCCTACAGTCTCAAGTGCTCACCTACTCGGGAGACCCTGACATATGCCCAGGCCCAACGAATTGTTGAGGTGGACATTGATGGACGCCTGCATCGTATCAGTATCTATGACCCACTCAAGATCATCACGGAGGATGAGCTGACTGCCCAGGATATCACTGAATGTAATAGTAACAAGGAAAACAGCGAGCAGCCTCAGTTCCCTGGCAAGTCCAAAAAACCCTCGTCCAAGGGCAAGAAGAAAGAATCCTGCTCCAAGCATGCATCCGGCACTTCCTTCCACCTCCCGCAGCCCAGCTTCCGCGTGGTGGACTCAGGCAGTCAGCCAGAAGCACCCCCTTTGCCTGCTGCCTACTACCGCTACATTGAGAAATCGCCTGAAGACCTGGATGCAGAGGTAGAGTATGACATGGATGAGGAGGACCTTGCCTGGCTGGACATGGTGAATGAGAAGCGGCGAACAGATGGGCACAGTTCGGTGTCGGCAGACACCTTTGAGCTGCTGGTAGACCGGCTTGAGAAGGAGTCATACTTGGAGAGTCGCAGCAGTGGGGCCCAACAGTCACTCATTGACGAAGACGCCTTCTGCTGTGTGTGCCTGGATGACGAATGCCACAATAGCAACGTCATTCTCTTCTGTGACATCTGCAACCTGGCTGTACACCAGGAGTGCTACGGGGTCCCCTACATCCCCGAGGGTCAGTGGCTATGCCGCTGCTGCCTGCAGTCTCCCTCCCGGCCTGTGGATTGTGTCCTCTGCCCCAATAAAGGTGGCGCCTTCAAACAGACCAGCGATGGGCACTGGGCCCACGTGGTGTGTGCTATCTGGATCCCTGAAGTGTGCTTTGCTAACACCGTGTTCCTGGAGCCCATCGAGGGCATTGACAACATCCCACCTGCCCGCTGGAAACTGACCTGCTATATCTGCAAGCAGAAGGGGCTGGGTGCCTCCATCCAGTGCCAAAAGGTGAACTGCTACACAGCCTTCCATGTGACGTGTGCACAGCGGGCCGGGCTCTTCATGAAGATTGAGCCCATGCGCGAAACCAGCCTAAATGGCACCACTTTCTCAGTGCGCAAGACTGCCTACTGTGAGGCCCACTCACCCCCGGGTGCTGCCACTGCGAGGAGGAAGGGTGTCTCCCCTGGAAGTCTTAGTGAACCTGGGAATGAGGAAGGGCTGAAGGAAGGCAATGGGGAGGAGGAAGACAAAGAAGAAGTGGAAGAGGAGGAAGATGAAGGCCAAGGTGTAGTAGGTGGCCCCCTCAAAGGAGTGTCTAAGAAGAACAAGATGACTTTGAAGCAAAAAATCAAGAAGGATCCAGAGGAAGTAGGTCGAGACATGCCCTCCGTTGTCCCCTTGGTCACCGTCCCACAGATACCCTCTTACAGGTAAACCTGCCCAGGAGGGTGCCCCAGAGACTAATGGTTTCTTCTTGGGCTGGTGGTGGCCTTTCCCATGCACGTTGATGAACATCTGTTCTCTTCCGTGCCCTCAAATTTCTCCTTTGGGTCCTGGGTTTACCTAGTCTGGTTTGTGATTTTGGTTGTGTTCTCAGAACAATGTGTTTCCTCTGGTTCAAGGTGAGATAAACAATTGAGTTGCTTAGTAGCTCAGGTGACAGGATGTCTAAGGCAGTATTTTTCAGTAATATCAAAAGTGGCATTTGGGATATGGTAATTCTTCATTATTCGGACTGTCCCAGGTGTTTCTGGATGTTTAGCATCTATGGTCTTTGTAAATACCAGTAGAATCCCCTCCTTCATTGCCTGGTCTTTGTGACAACATCAAACCTACCCCACATGTTTCCAAATACTCTATAGTGATACAGTTACTTCCAATTGCGGGGGTCAGTATGGTTTTCTACTGTCTAGAAAGCTTGGTCCTGGGAATGATAGGGATTTTCTGGGAGGGATGGTGGTGTGGGGGGTACATGCTACTCCTCTTGAGAAGTTTTTAGATTTAGGATCACTCGTCAGCTATGTAGAAGCCTACTAAGTGTATAAAGAGACCAGTGTACCTGTTAAGCCACCGTAGAGGTCTCTGGAACTGTTGGAGGGTTGGGAAGTTGACGGAAAACAAGAGACAGGAGATTTTCCAGTGGAGGCTCATCTCAAGGGTGATATTCATAAATAAGTACAATGTTAGAGCAGGAAGGAATCGTGAAGATTATTCATCTAATGTAGTCCTTGCACCTTCTCCCACACCCCCAGATGAAGAAACCGCGGCCACTGGAGGTAAAGTTGTCCACTCCTTTATTTATTCATTGAGATATTTATTGAGCACTTACTATATGCCAAGTCCTGTTCTAAGGGCTGGATCCAGGTGGAAAGTGGCTGACTCTGGACCACAACTGGGGCTCAACGGTAGGTTCTATACCTGCTGTCTCTCTCACTTGATGAGAAGAATAGGGATAAAGGAATACTAGAGGTAGTAAAGAATGAGTTATAAAAGGGAAACAGGCAATCAGACTTGTCTCTTGGAAAGAAGACATAAGAGCATAGAAGGTCAGGAGGGAGAGGCTCTTGTGGCAAGCCATGGCTTGAGTTAGAATTTAATCGACTTGGAAAAGTATCTTCTACTCACAGAACTGTTCCAGGACACCCTGTTAAATGCTTAGTCCACATCTGTAGGTGTTGTGCCCTGGCGCTAGGCTTTTTGCCATGTCTGCTGTCTTAAGATGTCTCTTGCAGGCTGGCTAAGGACCATAGAGACCTACATTTGAATCCTGTTTCTATCACTACCTGTGTGACCTTTGGCAGGTTACTTATTTATTTGTAAGTAAACCTACTTCATAGGGTTGTGAGAAATAATACAAGTAAAGCACTTAGCACAGTGCCTGGCAAATGGTAAGCTCTCAATAAATGGCTGCTGCTGCTATTTTATTATTATTCTTTTTCCTATCTGCACAAATGCTATTGGGACCCTCCATGGCCAAGAGGTTATAGAGGGAGGGGGCTCCCTGCATCTGGGCAGGTGTGCTTGGCATGGGCACTGGTGGGTGATCTGTCCTTTGGGGAAAGTCCTACCTAGGCCCTGATTTTGTAAGCTTGGCTTTGGGGCAAGAATGTCTGACTGTGGAAAGGCGCAAGGCCCAGGTGAGCTATGTCCAGTCCAAGATGCCCAATCTTCTTAGGTTCTACCTTCTTTAGCCATGCTTGTCTTCCTTTCAGTGGGGTGAGACGAAGAGAAAAGCAGTGGAAACACCACAGGAGCACTGAGGCCTTTTGCTCACCCGGTAGATAACAATTATGGAACACTACATGGAACAGCCAAGAGATCATGGTTCAGATCCCACCCCGGCTCCATCATCTTATTAGCTGCATTAGTGACTTTGACAATTTGTTCAGCCTCTGTTCCTAAGCTGCCTTTCCATCTTCTATAACATGGAAATAATGTTACCCACCTTTCAGTATGGGCATTAGGTTAGAAATTGTAGGCTCTCATTAATTCCCTTCCTACCTCTTTCCCTTCCTACCACACACTCCTACCGTAAGGCTAAGGCTAAGTTTTCAGATTCTCCATCCTCTTATACCTTGAGATCCATGAAAATATATATTTTGGTTCAAAATCAGACATTTTGGGGCTGCTGAGGTTTTTAATGAAAAACCAGAGGTCAGATGAGTCCAAAGGGTTGCATTTGAGAGGAGCCTGCTAGTTTTCCTTACAGCTTGGCCATGGACTACTCCCTGGTCTGGTGAGACCCTCAGACACAGGAGATAGTGACCACATTGCTCATAGCTTACTCAAGTTCCTATTCTCTTGATGCCTTTTATCAAGACAAGCCTGGGTTTTTGGGGCACAGGCCTGCTTCTCAGGAGTCCACAACTGCAGGAAACAGGTTTTCTAGAAGAGGGTTGTCATGGAGGTTCAGGATTGCAATGCAGGATGTGGAAAGTCAAGTGAATCTGAGCTGCTTAACTTTGCTGTCCTTTTCAAGCCTTTCTCTGAGGTGAGGCATTTGGCCACTTTATTCTGTCTTTCTTTATAAGGTTCATAAATGAACCAGCGTCTGGAGAGGAGGCTATAATCTGGTCTGCCCACTGACCCTGTCTGTCACTTCCCTTTGCCTCTACTCAAGGTTGAACAAGATCTGTAGTGGTCTCTCCTTTCAGAGGAAAAACCAGTTCATGCAGCGGCTTCACAACTATTGGCTGTTGAAGCGGCAGGCACGGAACGGTGTACCCCTCATTCGGCGCCTGCATTCCCACCTGCAGTCCCAAAGAAATGCCGAGCAGGTAGGTGACATGGCGATTTGGAGGTGGAGCGTGAAGAAGGAGTGATGGTTGGGGCTCCCCGTTCCCCTAACCCTCTGTGGAGCCTTTGCCCATATGTGATCACCCCTAAAGGTGGTCTGTCCCGGGAATGACCTCCAGCACCATAGAGCTCCTCAGACCAGACAGCATCTCCTTCTGGATGGGAGAAGCTTGACTTCGGAGCAAATTGTAGGGAATAGTGAAGAGCAAGCTCAGCTTTCTGTATATGTGGATAAAACCCTTTAGATGTGGCAGAATGGAAGAAGTAGGATGAATGAGAGCCAGGCAGTACTGAATTGCATGAATTAAGAAAAGGCACACTTTCCTCAAGACACTGAATTGCCAGGTGCCAAAAAAAGTGTTTCATAGAAAATACACAAATTTACCACCTAAGTTGTGCATAGCTTGCCCAATTGTCATGACCTTTTAGTCACTAGCAACTGGAATTGCTATATGTTTAATACATATTTTTATTTAGAGGAAGGGAGAGGGAGAGAGAGAGAAACATCAGTGGTGAGAGAGAATCATTTATTGGCTGCCTGCTTCATGCCCCCTGACTGGGGGTTGAGCTGAAACCCAGGCATGTACTATGACCAGGAATCAAACTGTGACCTCCTGGTTCATAGGTGGGCGCTCAACCACTGAGTCATGCCAGCTGGGCCTGAGAGACTTAACATTTTTAGTTCTCTCTCCCTATTCATTGCTCCATTACTTCTGCCTTTTAAGTATTCTCACACATGCTACCCTCTACGTTCTGTCTGATTTCACTTTTGCCTTTTGGAACTGAGTACTAAGGTGCCACTTCTATATCAGGCCTCTCTTCAAAATGGTCCATGTGCTCCCCTGTAGCCTCCCATGGAACATCAGTGACCTCCTCCCAGCTCAGCAAGTCTTTCCTTAGATTCTCACTTAATTGACTGTTGTTTGATACATTTGATACGCTGGCCATCTTGTCTTAGAGCTTTTCTGTGACTTCATTTCCCACCTCCAAACCCCACAGACTGCACCCTGTGCCCATCCTACTTGTTACTCCTTAATGGTAACATTCCCAGGGGCTCAGTTGCTGGCCTGTCTGATTGGAGGACTTCTACGTTCGTAGCTGTAAATAACTGTGGAGTAGTTGCTACAGATTTCTTGTCTTGTCCTCATCCTTATTTTCTACCCTCAGTCCCTGTAGGGCACAGGAACTGTAGATGTCCATGTAGATGTTGTTTCCTGTAACTCAGGTACTGGGAACTGAATTTATTATCTTCCTTCCTCTCAGTAAACATATTTCCCCATTATTGTCATGATCTCAGACGTTCCCCACCTTATAGTTACTCTTGACTCTTCCCTCTATAACAAGCCACAGTTACTCTTCCCTAAGCTCTTCGGGGGGATTTATCAGTATATGGCCCTTTGTCTCCATTCTCCAGCTGCATTGCTCACACATATCCCTTTAATTTCAGCAGTAGCTTTCTGTCTAGATTGTCACCAGCCTCTCATTCTTTCTTTGCTCTACAATTGGTGATGTCTTACACACCATTTTCCATCCTGTCACTTCCTTTCCCAGAATATGTCCAGGCTCCAGGCTGTTTGGCCTGGCACTTGAGGCTTCTTGTCAGCTGGGTTCTGGATCTTTCATGGCTTTTGTGATTTTCCAGCTTCTCTCCTCTGGCCAGCTCATTTTTCTCACCAAGCAAAGAACCACTGAGTATCCCTCCACACTTTGGCTCTATGGTTTCTTTAGTTCCAGAAGAGGCCTTCCTTGCCCAGCCAGCGTGGCTCAGTGGTTGAGTGTCAACCTATGAACCAGGAGGTCACAGTTTGATTCCCAGTCAGGGCACATGCTCAGTTGCAAGCATGATCCCCAGTAGGAGATATGCAAGAGGCAGCTGAGCAATGATTTTCATTGATGTTTCTATCTCTCCCTTCCTCTCTGAAATCAATAAAGATATATATGTAAAAAAAAAAAAAAAAAGACCTTCCTTACTGCTTTATTCATCCATATCCACATGTGAAAACCTAGTAAGATTCCTTCCTCAGGAAGCCATCCCTGACCTACTAACCACAACCCACTCAGATCCTCTCTATTTTATATCTTCGCAGCATCTTATATTCAGTCTCTGATCAGTTTTTGTTGTCTTTTTGCTACTGTGCCCTTGTGCATCAAACCCTACACTTCCCCCCGACTACACTGTAACCTTTTCTAGGTCTGCAATCCTTTATTTGGTGGGGTGGAGGTGTTTTAAAGTCAGTTAGTACAAGCTTATAGTAAGAACACTTTGTTTTCTAGATCAAAGTCGAAGCTCTAGGGTGAAATTCTATCCTGAGGTGTCTACTAGTTTCCTTCTGAAATTCTTTCCAGCCCTGAGGGGCACTGGTGCTCTCTGGTGTCCCCAAGAATAGGGGAGTGGTCCCAGATCTCACCCGGGCAGTTACTGTACTGCAGTAAAGAAACATTGCTATAGGGTCAGGGGAAGCCCAGGAGGAAGGAATGGGGTGGAAAGGGGGTGGAGGGTCTTTGAGGGACTGTGGGTCAAGGAAGGGGTTGGGGCTCTTAACTTGCCAAGGCCCCATGAAGCTTGATGAGGGAGAGGACTTTGGGCAGGAAGGAGGCACCTAGCTCCTTCCTTTCCCTTCCCTTCCCTCCTGCAGCGAGAGCAGGACGAGAAAACAAGCGCCGTGAAGGAAGAGCTGAAATACTGGCAGAAGTTGCGGCACGACTTGGAGCGAGCCCGGCTGCTCATCGAGCTGATTCGGAAAAGAGAGAAGCTCAAGCGGGAGCAGGTGAGAAGCTCTGAGCCCAAGGCTCTCATCTAGGAACTTTTTCCTCGGTCAGTGTGTTACCAGGAGACCTGGTGTAAACTTCCTCCCCTTCTTACCTGGCATTCTGGCTCTATGGCCTGCCTACTCCGTGGTGCTGCTGAGGGCTTCTCTCTGGGGATTCAGCTTCTGGTGGCCTCAAGCATAAGCTCAATATCATATGCCTGGGCCAGTCCCTGGAGTTTCTGACTCGGACTCTAGGGAGAGCCTGTACTTGAGTATTTTATAAAGCTTCTCAGGCTGTCTTAGCTGGTTTGGTTCAGTGGGTAGAATGTCTGCCTGTGGACTGAAGGGTCCCAGGTTTGATTCTGGTCAAGGGCACATGCCCAGGTTGTGGGCTCAATCCTCAGTAGGGGCATGCAGGAGGCAGCTGATCAATGGTTCTCTTTCATCATGGATGTTTCTATTTCTCCCTCTCTCTTCCTCTCTGAAATCAATAAAAAAAAAAAAATAAAAAAAAACTTAAAAAAAATAAAAAGCTTCTCAGGCCATTCTGATGTCCATTACCCCTGGCTTGGGAACTTCTGAGGCTCCTCACTAGGCCCTTAAACACTTTGGGTATTAAGTGATTTAAATTTCCCAACATCTATTCAAAAATATTTTAAGGCTTTGAGTATGGGGAATACTCAAAGCCTTAAAATATAAGGTAGTTGAGATAGGTAGTGTGGCAGAGGGGTTAGGAATATGAACTATGGCACCATCCTGCTTTGTTTAAATCTTGGCTCTGCCACTTACTACTTGTGTGACATTGCTAATCTCCTTATATCTTAGTTTCCTCAACTGTGAAGTGGAAGTAATAATAGAACATACCACATAAGGTTGTTGTGAGGATTAGATGACTTGTATATACAAAGAGCATAGAACAATGCCTGGCATATAGTAGAGGGGCTACAGTGTCAGTTTCTATCATCATTATTGACTCTCTGCCTCCCTGAAGTACCTGCTGCAGTTCTCTACACATGGCAGAAAGCAAATACTGTGTGTTTTTTTTTTAAAATATATTTTTATTGATTTTAGAGAGCAAGGGAGGGAGAGAGAGATAGAAACATCAATGATGAGAGACAATCATTGATTGGCTGCCTCCTGCATGCCCAACACTGGGGATTGAGCCCACAACCCAGGCATGTGCCCTGACTGGGAATCGAACCGTGACCTCCTACTTCATAAGTCCATGAAAGCAAATACTATTTAAAAAAAATAATAATTTATTTTTTCTTCTTTTTCTAATCCTCACCTAAGGATATTTTTCCTTTTTTTTTTTTTTTGAGACAGAGAGAGAGAGGGAAAGATAGAAACATTGATGTGAGAGAAGCACATCAATTGGTTGTCTCCTACATGCACCCCGACCAGGGCCTGAGCTGGGGAAAAGCCTGCAACCAAGGTATGTGCCCTTGACTTGAATTGAACCCAGGGCCCTTTAGTCCACAGGTCGATGCTATATCCATTGAGCCAAATTAGCTAGGGCATAAATACTATTAATTCAATGAATGATGAGCTAAAACTGTTCTTTTTGGTCCAGGAATAGCAGCTGTTACTGGAATGCTTCATAGGCCTGGGTCAAAGATGTTCCTTTCTCCCTTTCTCCAAACTCCCACTTCTGTTTAACCCCAGTGCAAGGCCTGAGTTTACCTCTGAGACCTGGCAGCTCTTGCCATACTTAGCATGGAGGACATCTCAGGACCGTCTCCTGGATTCACACTGTTTGCCATCCCAGGCCTGGATTTGCACCTGAGCTTTTTTTCCTGCCTCTGGTTCACATAAATGAAAGGGGAAAGGAGGCAGGCAGGCAGGCCTGTTTTAATGTAGCCAAGAGACAAGTCTAATCCATGGCTTCCCAACCTTTTCATAGTAGGACACACATGAATATAATGTGATAAAACATACTGTAAATATGGGAAGCTGCTTGCTGCCCGAGGAGATGAGCCTGGAGGCCCAGGTCAGCCCAACTCGACCCAGACATTCCAGAGGCCAGTGGGATCAATATCTCGGCACAGTAGGTGGGAATTCTGGCCCAAGGCACATTTTATATCATCACTGTGCCCCTTGGCCTAAGTCAGACTGTGCTCTTGAACCAGTGACCATGGGTTAATTCAGATTCCATATTTATAAAATGGGGATGATAAGTTTCTCTTTCAGGGTTGTTGTGTTGATTCACTGAGGTAATGTGAATAGAGAGGCAGTGTGCATAGAGCACACACTGCAGAATCAGGCTGTCTGGGATGTAGTCTCAGCTCTGCCTCTTATTGGCTGTGTGACCTGGGACCAGTCTCGGTGCCTCCATTTCCTTTTGTATAATATCTGTACCTACCTCATGTACTCACATATGAAATGCTTAGAAAGTTGCTTGGCACTTAGAAAGGACTATAAAAGTAATTATTATTATTATAGTTGACTCTTGAATAATGTGAGCATTAGGGGCTCTGACCCTCAGCGTAGGTTAAAATCTGCATATAACTTGATTTCCCTAAAACTTAAATACTAGTAGCTTACTGTTGACCAGAAGCTTTACTGCTAACAGTTGACTAATATATACTTTGAATGTTTTATGTATTATATATAATACTATATTCTTACAATAAAATAAGCTAGAGGAAAGAATGTTAAAATCATAAGGAAGAGACCATAAATTAACAATATTTATTGAAAAAAAATCCATGTGTAAGTTCAAACCTGTGCTTTTCAATGATCAACTATATAATTATTATCACTGTTAAGTTTCGGTGTGGTGCTTGATACATAGGAAACATCCACATAGTGGTGGCTCTTGGTGTCTTTATTTCTAGGCTGTAGGTTAGGTGGTCACTCCTAATAAAATGGTCAGCTTAATAGCCTGTGAAAATTCGTTATACACAATTGGTGAAAATCAAACTACCATGTTTCCCCGAAAATAAGACATCCTCCGAAAATAAGACCTAGCACATGGAAAGATAAGACATCCCCTGAAAATAAGACATAGCGCAACTTTGGGAGAAAAAATTAATATAAGACACTGTCTTATTTTCGGGGAAACTGGGTATAAAGAAAACGTTCAGTGCCTCTTCAAGGGGAGGGGCGACCTGATTTCTCCCCACCTTCCCACAGATCAAGGTCCAGCAGGCTGCCATGGAGCTAGAGCTGATGCCATTCAACGTTTTGCTGAGGACAACCCTGGACTTGCTGCAGGAGAAGGATCCCGCGCACATCTTTGCCGAACCCGTCAGCCTGAGTGAGGCAAGTTCCCCCCCCCCCCCACTTTCTGAACAGTGATCCCCTCAAGACCTGGGAGCTATCTGCAAAGGCCAGGAGGGGGTTGAATGACAGAGTGTACCAAAACTGGGGGTGTCTGGCAAGGCCAATAGACTGCCAATAGTAAGGGGTCAGCAGGCCAGGGTGGGCCAGGGCCCTGGGGCTCTGTGAGCCCAGAATGGTCAAACCAGGGAATGGGGAGAATGCCGGTGAAGGGTGCGCCTGTTTGGCTAGTAAATGGTTGTTGTAATTGTACAGGTTTTATATGTTTAGGTTCCAGATTACCTGGAATTCATATCCAAGCCAATGGATTTTTCTACTATGAGGCGGAAGCTGGAATCCCATCTGTACCACACCTTGGAGGAGTTTGAGGAGGACTTTAACCTTATAGTTTCCAACTGCATGAAGTATAATGCTAAAGACACAATTTTCCACCGAGCAGCTGTCCGCCTGCGGGACCTGGGAGGGGCCATCCTGCGGCACGCCCGGAGGCAGGCAGAGAACATCGGCTATGACCCCGAGAGGGGCACACACCTGCCCGAGTCACCCAAATTGGGGGACTTCTATCGCTTTTCCTGGGAAGACGGTGAGAATCTTGGACGGGTGTGGAGGACAGGGGCTAGGAGGAGGCACAGGGACAGAGTAAGCCAGGGATCAGAGTGGATCTTGGGCGGTAAACACAGGCTGGAATATATCTGGAGCAAAGCTGGGGGTAGGCACAGGCTGGAATATATCTGCTTGTGGCTGCAATAGTTCCCCAGATTAAAGTTTAACTAATTCACTGAGCACTTCCTGAATGGTAGGAAAGGGAATCAGGTACTAGCTGTCTCTTTGAGAAGCTAAAGCCTCACTGGTGTCGTCTTCTCCCGGACCCTCTGTGTGGCACCGGGGCATGGGGCAGTGAATGCAGGCGGCTGTGTGTTTGGCTCACTCACAGGGTGCAGGAGAAGGATACAGAGAGTGCAGAGAACGGAATTGCCTCGGAGCCCTCGCTCTGCCTGACTCTGCTTTTCAATGGCAGCAGCCAAACAGTCATTCAGGCCAGGGAACTGCCAAACTGCCTCGTGCCTGCTCCATAGAGCCCATAATCGTGACTGTGGAATGCTTCCTGCAGATGTTTCCCAGAGTCTGACCTTGTCCTTGTGGCTGCCCTGTAGGCAGCTGTGGTGCCAGGGCCAAGGCCCCACAGTGATGTTGCTGGAAGCCACTGGCTCAGACATTCCAGGAGAATATTTTGCATCCAAAGGATTTAGCCCCTCCCCCTTCCCCTGGGCTAGGCAGGTCCTTCAGCCCCTTCTCTCTTCCCTTCTCTCTGACAGTGGACAACATCCTCATCCCAGAGAACCGAGCCCATATGTCCACGGAGGTGCAGCTGAAGGAGCTGCTAGAGAAACTGGACCTGGTGAGTGCCATGCGGTCCAGTGGGGCCCGGACCCGCCGCGTCCGCATGCTGCGCCGGGAGATCAATGCTCTTCGGCAGAAGCTGGCACAGCCACCGCCACCACAGCCGCCCTCACTGAACAAGACTGTGTCCCATGAGGAGCTTCTGGCAGGGCCCCAGGGAGATGTGGCTGCGCAGGCCCTGCAGGAGGAACCGGAAGACGATGGCGACAGAGGTGAGATGCTGGGGGCAGGGTAAGGGAGCAAGGGTTAAGCTGAAATCCTGAGTAGAAGCGTCCTTCCTGAGTTTAGGTCTGATCTTTGTGGGCAAGCGGAAGCCCTTGGAGGGGTCACACTTGCGCATATGCCCAGGGTTGATATTCAAAATATTTAACCATCAGTAGAGATCAACGTTTATCAGTCAGAGTAGGTGTTGATTGTTGTCTTGGAATGAACTCCTGGCTACTGATATGGATATTTAGTTGCTGGATTGTGGACAGGTTTGGGGAGTTTCAGAGGCTGGGGCTCAGCAGATGTTATTAACCAGTAAAGAAATATTTTAGTACTAGAGGCCTGGTGCACAGAATTCATGCACAGGGCGGTGTGGGGGGGTGTCCCTCAACCCAGCCTGCATCTCTCCAATCTGGGACCACCTAAGGGATGTCCAACTGCCCATTTAGACCCAATCCTGGTGGACATCCCTCTCACAATCCAGGACTGCTGGCTCCCAATTGCCTGCCTGCCTTCCTGATTGCCCCTAACTGCTTCTGCCTGCTAGGCTGATCACCCCCTAACCATTCCCATGCCAGCCTGATTGATGTCTAACTGCTCCCCTGCCAGACTGTTTGCCCCCAACTTCCCTCCTCTGTTGGTCTGGTCACCCCTAACTGCCCTCCCTTGCAGGGTTGATCACCTCCAACTGCCCTTCCTTGCAGGCCTGGTCCCTCTCAACTGCCCTCTCCTGCTGGCCATCTTGTGTCCACATAGGGGCAGAATCTTTGACCACATGGGGGCAGCCATTTTGTGTGTTGGAGTGATGGTCAATCTGCATATTTCTCTTAATAGATAGGGTAGAGGCCTGGTGCACGGGTGGGGGCCAGCTGGTTTGCCCTGAAGGGTGTCCTGGATCAGGTGGGGGTTCCCTTGAGGCGTGGGGTGGCCTGAGCAAGGGAGGGGCCTGTGGTGGTTTGCAGGCCAGCCATGCCCCCTGGTGACCCAAGTGGAGGCCCTGGTATATGGAATTTGTTTACCTTCTATAATTGAAACTATGGAGCCAAGCCTCCTGCTCGCTTTATGGCCAGCAGCCATTTCTGTTTGGATTTGTTTACCTTCTTTAATTGAAACTTTGTAGTCTTGAGGGCAGGCAGAAAGCTTGGCTTCCTCCAGTTGCCTGGGAAACCCACGCCTCCCTCCTACTCTCTGTGGCTGCAGCCATCTTGGTTGGATTTATTTGCATACTCGCTTTGATTGGCTGGTGGGTATAGCGGAGTGATGGCTAATTTGCATATCACTCTTTTATTAGGTAGGATTTTACTTCTAATATGGTCATATTGCACATACCAGTTAAATATCAGCTCACCTTCACCATAATGTAGAGAGGTTCTTAGAGCAGCTCATGTTATGGTGGGGCGCGGGCTATAGAAAAGAAAGACGCTAAAGATAGTCTGGGCTCTCAAGCTGCCTCATGCCTCTGACCCTAGCTGGCTGAGTCTATAGGCCCATCCCAAAGCAGAAAGGCCAGATTGCAAAGACAGCTGGGGAAGTGATTCTCAGAGACTCCGAGGCTTGACATCTGAGCTGCTTTCCATTCTCCCACATCACTGGGGACAGAATGGTCTCCTTCCTACCTATCCTTGGATCTGAGCCTATGATTTGGGAGGGAGTGTCATCTACACAGTTCAAAATGTTGAGAATTATTCCCAGAGGGAAGAGGGCCAAATTACAGGGGGATGGCCCACTTGAGATTGGCAAAGAATGGGGACATGGCTGAGAGGTCATATTTGGCTTTAAAGGGCTTTGTGTCTGTTGTGATTCTTCTTCACTCCCCATGTGGCAGTCAGCATGGGTCCCCATGGCAGTATCCCCCGCCCAGGTTGTGGCAGCAGAGGGTCATGCCCAGTGGCCCAGCTTGCAGCAGCTCATAGAGCAGGAGTAGAAAATGTCCGGCCCGTAGGCCATGTAAGGCCCGTGAAATCATTGGTCTGGCCCTGCAAAAGCATTAGGGGCGAGTTAATTACAGTCTGACCAAATACAGCAGGCTAATTTTTAAGGTGATTATTTGTATGGCCCCAGAATGATGTTATAAATATCCAGATGGCCCTTGGCAGAAAAAAGGTTTCCCACCCCTGAAGGATTTCGAACAAAATTCCCAGGGTTCACCTCCCAGAGATGCAGATTAGGGCAGTCTCGGCTGTGGTTTGGAATCTCAGTTTTTAAAAGTTTCGGCCATGGTCAGTAGCTCAGTTAGTTAGAGTGCAGTGGGTACACCAAGATTGTGGGTTTGGCCCTGGTCAAGGCAATACAAGAATCAGCCAACAAATGCATAAATAAGTGGAACAACAAATCACCCCCCCCTTCTCTCTCTCTCCCTTTTTCCCTTTTTCTCTCTCCCTCTCTCCCTTCTTCCCTCCTCTCTTTTCGTCTAAAAATCAACATAAAAATTCTTAAAAAAAAAAAAAAAAAAGTTTCAAGGTGGTAGGTGAACCGTTGGCCTCATTTTTCTGTATCTATAAACTTATTCTTTCTGCTCGTCCTATTTCCTTCATTGGGTGATGCAAACCAAAATACAGTGAAAGATGGGAACACATTTGAGTCTAAGGAGAACTGTAGACTCCTAATTTGTGCAGCTGAGACTCACCTAATTATTGATGAAATAGGCAGCCTTTGGCTTTCTCAGGTGTGGAGCAATGGTGTGTAACGCTACCTCATCAGACTCCACTGATAAGCTTAAAAAGGAATGCCTCATCTTTAGAGGTTGGTTTCAGTGGTCTGGAATAGGACTTGGGCATTGAAACTTTTAAGAAACCTCCTAGGTGATCCTAATTCATGGCCAGTGTTAAGAAAACTTAGTCCTCCCTTCTCCTCACCTCAGACTGAGACCTGGGATGCTTCTCAAGCCTGTAACGGCTAGTGCCATTGATTCTGGTTATCAGTGTCATTAGCTGGCTCATGGGGCAGACTTTTTCTAAAATGTTCAAGCAGGTTCTCTTTTTCTCTAACAGATGACTCCAAACTGCCTCCCCCACCAACCCTGGAGCCTACTGGGCCTGCACCTTCCTTGTCTGAGCAAGAATCCCCTCCAGATCCCCCCACTCTAAAACCTATTAGTGATAACAAACCTCCAAGCCGATTCCTAAAACCCAGAAAGGTGGAAGAAAATGAGCTTTTGCGAAAATCACCTCTGCAGCTAGGGAACGAGCCGTTTCAAGACCTGCTCAGTGATGGTGGCATCAACAGACTGACCCTCATGGCCTCCGATGACCCTGACGATGCCCCGCTCAGTAATGTGGGCCGCCACACCTCAGTCCTCTTTAAGAAGGCCAAGAATGGGGCTAAGCTGCAGAGGAGCCCAGATGGGGCCCTGGAGAATGGCGAGGACCATGATGCAGCGGGCTCTCCTGCCTCTCCTGGCAGCATTGAGGATGAGCAGCACTCCCGGAAGCGGCCAAGGAGCAGGAGCTGTAGTGAGAGTGACGGGGAGAGGACCTCCCAGCAGGAGGAAGAAACAGGTGATCTGCCTGTGACTGCTCTCGCTACTTTTCACCTGCTTCTCTGCTTTGCCTTGCCAGCCAGCACCTCCCCCAGTCGTCCAGCTCTCTAAAAGCTCCTGTGGATGCCAGTAGTAGCATTGAGGGCTTCCTGGTTCACAATTGGGCCTGGCCGTGATGAGTAGAGGCCTGGGGAATTTGGCTTTGAGCAAGTATTTAGTTTGTGTCTGGGGCTTTCTTTGGCCCTGATGGGAATGCAAAGCTGTACTTGGTAAAATAGGTCCTGTCTTCATTTTAGTTCATTCATTCATCAGATATTTATATCAGGCATTCTTCTAGGTACTGGGGCAAACTTCCCTTGGAGGGAAGATATATTAAAAGCAAGTGAGTGGATTGTGGATTGTATATCATATTAGAAGTTACTCAGATAAAACTAACAGAGAAGGGGCATAAGGGATGCTGGGGTGGTATTAGAGAGTGCCAGGAGAGGCCTTTCGAGGAGGTGACATTTGACTAAAGATCTGAGGGAGTTGAAGGTATGAGCTATTTGGGAATCTGAGAGAAGAACATTCCAAATAGAGATAGACTAGCAGGTGCACAGGCCCTGTGTGGGAACGTGCCTGCACGTCTGAGGAACAGTAAGGGAATCAACTTGGCTGTATGTAGGAGAATGAGCCAGGGATGATAGAAATGCATCTCAGAAGTGGGTAATGGGGACTCAGTCACTAAAGAATTCTTACTATGTGTCCAGCACCAGCTGGCCTTGGGGAGGGGCAGGTAATTAGGCTAGTTCCAGCTGCAGGAGGGTCCACAGGCTAGTGGGGAGGCTAGACGGCCTCTTGGGGTGCAGTGCTGGACAGTAGATGGTTATATGTCAGATGACAGGTATAGCACTGCTGGAGGGGTTCAGGGACCATGAGCTGGAGGAGTAGGGAAGGTTGCACTAAGAGTTGATGCCTGAGTTGTCCCTAAGCGCTGAGGGCAGAATGGAAAGGAGTAGATGAAACAAAGAGGTCAGGCACAGGTGTGTGTAGAAACAAGGACAGTCTCTGCGTAGGACAGTTTGCAGAGTCGGGAGCCAAGGCTGGATGGTGAGTGGGCAGGACTGTGCAGGGTCCACATTGGTAGACAGAGGAGTGGAGTCTCGGGGGGATATGGAAGGCCAGCTTGCTGAGTGGGGAGGGGCCTGCTCTTGGCTTTTGCTCCTCATGTCCCTCGCATCTCCTTTTATATGGTGGCTTTGGGATGTATGGCCAGCACATGCTTTTTATGCTTTTCTTTCTTCCTATCACTTTGTTACCAGTAATACCGTCCCTTCCCATCTGGCCCAAGCTTCTCTGTAATAGGGGAGTAGGTTGGTATAGTCAAGAGCTTGAGGGCTGCAGTTAGGCAGACCTGCATTCAAATTCCGTCTTCTTACCAGCTGTGCATCAAAGTAATTAGCTGGGGCAAATTGAACAGGCTGTTTTCTTATTTCTAACTGGGGTCTAGTGACACCTGATTTGGAGGGCTCTAAGGATGAGAAGTAGTCTGTATGAGGCACTTGGCATGTAGCAGTAGATGGTAGCAGTTACCGCTGTCATCCGCTCAGCCACGTCAGGCACAGCCAAGCACCCTGAGAACACTGCTCTAAAAAGGACAAGTCCTGCTACTGGGAAGGCGGACATCAGGCTCACCCAAGTCGAGAGGGCCCCCTGCTTGGGGATACCACTAGTCTGTTCTCTAGTGCGGCTGCCCTGTGCTCAGGAATGCTGCTGCACACCCTTTTCGGCCCTCACAGAAACAGGTGTTGGTCCTTTACAGACGAGGCACCTAAGCAGCACAGCTGGCTTAGTGACTTAAATTGAGGTCACAGTGTTAGAGGCAGAGCTTGTTCAGTGTCCAGGTATCTTGGCTCAGACACCTGCTCTTACAGGTGTGACTTGCCTCACAGTTTTCTGGCCAAGGTGACTTAGAGCTCTTGGCACTCTGACGTGCAGCACTCTGGATTGTGGTTAAGAACTGGGGTCACAGAGGAGAGTTGAAGCCTCCACAGCCAATGAGAGTCACGTCCCTGCGATGAGCAGGCAGGCTTCATCTGCCTCCAAAGGGCTGCCTGCTGTAAACAGACCTCCTCTCATTCATACTTAATAGCATCCTCGGTGAGTGAGAACATACTATCTTCACAGAAGGGGAGGCCAGGGCCTGAAGAAGAAAGGGGCCTGTACTTGAGAGCCCGGACTAGAACGCAGGGAATGCTGACTCCGTCCCCGGAAGGCTGGCCTGCTTTAGTGCTGCGGAAAAGTCCCCCATCCTCAAGTCTGACAGGCCCTGCTAGATATCTCCAGGCGTGGTTACATAGCCCTTATCCTGCCCAGCCTCCCTGACACCGTCCCAAAAGAATGAAGCTAGCTGTTGCCAGGGTGTGATGGAAAGGAGGGCTTATCTGAGCGGGCCAGGCGGGTGGGCTCCCCAAGAGGCAGAGGAGACTCCCTGATAATCGAGGCTTGAAATGGGAAGCAGATCCAGGGACTTGTAAGCCAGCCGGAGTGGGGAAGTCTTGGTATTTCCCTTTGGAGCCAGATGACAATACTGGAGTGAGCTGTGTTTGCCTGACAGTAAAGCCAGAGGAAGCGAAAGAAAACGCAGCATCTGCTCATTGTCCCCCGCCAACATCTTCCCCAAATCTGTATCAGATTCTACCACCAAGACCATTTCCCATGGGGGTGGGCACCGCATTCTCACCCCTCCTCGCCGAGCCCTCCTGTGGTGGCCGTGCTGCAGCGAGGTGCGGGGAGGGGGAACGAGGAGGCGCTGCTCTCAGGCTCACTCTGTGTGTCCTCGGCAGGTGTGACCAACGGCTTCGGGAAACACGCGGAAAGCGGGTCTGACTCAGAATGCAGTTTGGGTCCCAGTGGTGGACTGGCATTTGAAGCTTGCAGGTAAGAACACTTGTCCCAAAGCTTCACCACTTCTCCATTCTCCGTTGGGCTGCAGCTTGAACCTCTTTCTGCTTATATCTCAGATATGTTCTTCCCCCACCCCTGCTGATTCCTGAGGCTGCTGGTCTGCAACTGTGGGAGCTCCAAGAAAACAGTGTGACCCTTGCCGCTCAGGCCTGATCTGAGTAGGAGGGAGGGAGAGGCTGATGCTTTACAGGGTTTGTGGAGCTGAGTTCAGCTCTAGAGAGCGGGCCAGCCATATCTCTGTTGCCCAGAGAAGTTAAAATTTGAGCCAGTCCTCCACCTGATCCCCAACCCACTCAGATAACCCAGCTCATTACAGACATGGGTTCACCCTGTGCCTTTTGGGTCATCATAGCTTTGGCCCCTTCAGAGGTGTGGTATAGGGATAAGAAATGAGCTGATGGGAGAGTTAAAATCGCCTTTTATTGGCCAAAGGTCCCAGCTCTTCATTGATCTGGGGGTGAGTTTCTTTTCCCATTCTTTTAGCTGAAGGGAGGATTGCTGGTACCAGAGCCTTAATGATTCTTCCACCTGCTAGAGCCCCCTGAAGCCCTGCTCTGTCCTGTGAGCTGCACAGGAAACCAGGGAGTGTGGGACTCTTGGAAATGGGCGACCCTCAGTGTCAGAGGTTGGTCTCATGGTCCCTCTGTGTGGCTGCCGAATGGATTCTGCAGTCAGAGCAGGGGAGATGGTCCTGGGAATGAGCACCAGAAGACTGTGTCTGTGCTTGAAGCACCTCCAAGGCAGGTTGGCTGTGCGTTCTGTAAGGTGCTTGTTCTAACCTGGCTCCTGATGGGTCCATAGGAAGCCCCTACCCCTTGGGCCTGGACCAGTTCCCGCTGTTGCAGGGCCCAGCTTTCAGGTTTCCCTCCCCACCAAACCTTAGAGTTGCCCTTTCTTACTCCCTCCCATGCTGCCCTCTCCAGATATAGGGGGAGTAGATGGGAAAGAACACAGTTATCAGAGAAGAGGCAGTGACTTCAGGCTTTTCTCAGATGCTTCTAGTCTGACTCCCTTCAAAGATACAGTGCCTGGAAACCCAGCTCATTGGGGGTGGGGTAAGAGTGTCCCTTCCTACACCTTAACTAAAGGTCAAAGGCGTGTTGGGCCCTTCCCTCTGTGAAGGGCACTCTTCCCAGCTCTGGACAAGAAGCAAGCCAGGCCAGGCTCCAGTGTGCTTGCCTTGTGCAGCCCTCCAGTCAGGGCTGGTCTGTCTGGGGCTTCACTCAACATGGAAAACATGCCCTTGGAAGGCATTTCCTCTTTAACTCAGTGGGATTTCAAGGTTTAAAATAGGAGATTCAGGGGCTATGGCTGCCAGGGTTTTTTTCTTAAATTTTTTCAGTGCTGTGGTGTTAAGTACATAAAGGACAATCATTAACTCGATAATCATATAATCCCAGAATTAGAAAGAACTTCTGGTCATCAATTCCACATACCCCTCCCCACCATGTGCCCCTTGGTTTATCTGTCCTAATGATTTTCTGAGCAGGTTAGGGCTGCACCATCTTTCTAAGGGTCCGTCCTTCAATTATTAATTGAGCACCTACTCTGAGCCAGGAACTCTAGTAGGCACCGATAAGGTGTCTGCTCTCATGGAGCTTATCTTCTGAAGGGCAGAGGTGAATGTTAACCAGGAGACAGAGTAATTATAGGTTGGGTTGTCTGTTTAGGCCTGGGTAACATGGGAGAGAGGCTGAATGCAGGTGATGGTCAAGTCACTTGTGCTTTTTTAATTTTTTTTATTTTTTTATTTGAGAGAGGTAGCAGGGGGATAGGGGGAGAAAGGTTGTTGGGGGGTGGGGAGAGAGAGAGAAAAACATTGATTTGTTCTGCTTATTTATGCATTCATTGGTTGCTTCTTGTATGTGTCCAGGCTGGGGCACACTTGTGCTTTTTCCTATGAAACAGGAAAATACAAACCTAGTTTTGGTGTTGTATCCATTTTCTTTGAGCTTATCCTTCTCAGAGTTCATCATTTGATAGTACAGTAGTAGTTTATAATATTTAAAGTGAGATATTAAAGTTTACTGCCCTTCATATATTGTTATAGAATTGCCACTTATTGAGTGTTTGGTATGTGCACTTCCTGAGCGCTTCCTGTGTATTAATCCATTAAGTCCTCACAACACATGGGGGACACGAGCATCAAAGAGGTTGAGTAACTTGCTCAAGGTCACAGAACTATTGAATAAAGAGCTGAGTTCTGAACCCAGGAAGTCTGGCTCCCCAGTTCAATCTTTTAATCACTTTGCTGGGTCCTCTTCTGTTGTATTTGAGGATGTCTTCTCAAACCATGATGTGAACTTGGAGAGACTTTCCTAATAAAACTAGTAGTATCTTCTATTCTATACGGCCTCAGAGTCTCTAGGCTCAGTGACAGATTTTTGTAGGGTGAGTGGGAACCGAAGCCTAAATATGAATTGAGTATTCTTTGTGTTTTTCCAAACAAGCCTTTATTTTCACTAGCAGGAAAAAACTCGCCACCTACTACTTCCTGGAGGATTCTGATTCATTGCATTCTGGTTGTGCAGGTGTACTCTATTAGACAGGAGGCAGGCAGTACGATTCCATAAACCAGGGGCACCTGCTCGCAGCCAGTCCCAACCCTGGCCGCCTCTTGTCCCACCAAAGGTCTCTTAGCATTTCTGTTCTTCTGCAAATCGTTGGCCTGTCTTTTAAGCACTTTTTTAGTTGAAAAAATTATATAGTGGTAATATTTTTTAAAGTTTGGATGGAAAGAAAGCCTTAGTCACATTTTTACCAGAGACTCCCAACTATGGTTGTGCATTAGAATTGCATTGAGAGCTACTTAAAAATACTGATGCCTCTGTGAGTTCAAGTTATACCATTATTCTGGTATTACTGTTCTCATTTTTGCTTATTACCCTTAGTCTTTGTTTAATTTTTTAAAATTTTCTTTGTTAAAAAAAAAAAAATCCATCTTTGTCTAAGAAAAATTGACACACATAAAGTGACAATGAGAAGTGGAATTTTTCCCAATTTAAAAATGTCATTTCTAATTAAAGAAATAGGACAAGTCCTTTTAAAAATTTGGAAAAGAGGCAGATTTTTATACCTCTAAAAAGTAAACTGGCCGAAACCAGTTTAGCTCAGTGGATAGAGCATCGGCTTGCAGACTGAAGGGTCCCAGCTTCGATTCCGGTCAAGGGTATATACCTTGGTTGCGGGCACATCCCCAGTGTGGGGTGTGCAGGATATTTCTCTCTCATCGATGTTTCTGGCTATCTGTCCGTCTCTTCCTCTCTGTGAAAAATCAATAAAATATATTAAATTTTAAAAAAAGTGAACTGATTTCTAAAGAACAAGCAGTGTGAGCCACAGAGCAAAGAATTCTGGGCAGAGGTGAGATGGGCCTTTCTCCCATTGCCTGGGATGCTTTGCTCTGGATGAAATCCAAGGGACCAAACGAAGCGGGTAGCGGACATGTCTTGCCAGGTTCAGTCCTTTCACATGGAGGAAATGGTTCCTGCACGCCCCATGGGAACTTTCTGAAATGTGTCACGGCTGAGTGTGAGTTTTTAGGGGAAGGTGAGAAACCATTCTCCTTGCAGAGTTTATGCAGCTCCACTCCTGTCAGCCATTAGGGAGCGGAAGTGGGGGTGTTAGTCATTGAATTGCTCCTCTCTTCCCCTTCCCTCCCTGCTCTGTACGCAGTGGTCTGGTGCCCCCCAAACGCAGCCGTGGGAAGCCAGCCTTGTCTCGAGTGCCCTTCCTGGACAGTGTGAACGGAGACTCTGACTACAGCAGCTCAGGTGAGGAGCAATGCACAGGTGGGCTTGGGGACAGGCCTTCCCAAGAACCAGCTCTGTGGTCTGGCTAGACTGTGAGAGCTCTTCCAAATCCTTGGGTACTGGGCTGGGTCTTCCTCTCCAGGTCATTCATAATCATTTTTATTTCCCCCCCAATTCATCTTAAATTTGAATTGGCAATATTTGCCTATGATAACAAAAATCAGAAAGGTGTAAAAGGTGCGTAATGAAAAGCCAGTGCTCCCCTCCTGAGGGTAACCACTGTTGGTAGTTTCTTTTTGTCTTTCCAGATGTAACCCTTTCACACACAAGCCAAAACTCCTGTGTACATGTAGGATAGTGACAAGAGAAGCCTACTCTGCATGTGCCCCTCTAAACCAGGGCTGGCGGCCGTTGGGCCCACAGGCCGTATGAGGCCCACAGTCTAGGCCTGCCAAGGCGTTAGGGGGAGCTAATTAAACGTTCGACCAAATAAATACAGCAGACTAATTTGTAAGTGGTAATTTTGTATACCTGCGAATGATGTCTTAAATATCCAAGTGGCCCTTGGCGGAAACAAGTTTCCCTACCCCTGCTCTAAACCATGCTTTTTTCTTTTCAGCTAATAATGTATCTTTAGAGAGCCTTCTGTGGTTTTCCTCGTCTGCCTAATGTCCCGTTATATAGGAGTGCATCGTTTACTTAGCCGGCCCTCTACATTTCGATTGTTCTCGCTGATGTGCTATAAGCAGTGTTGCAGTGAGCAGCCTTGTCCAGGGATCATTTTGTATTCGTGGGGGGTGTACCGATAGAAGCGGAGTGGCGGTGTTGAAGGAGGTGTGCATTTGTAATCTCAGTAAACACTGCCTGTCTTCCCTCCCTGGAATCATCTGTGATAGCCTGTATCCCTGCATCACACACCTGACCTGTCATTTCATGTGATCCAGTGCTTCCAGCCTTCTCCTCATGACACACACTGCAGCTGGCCCAGACTGAGATGCGTGGGTCTTTTCTCCTTAGATGGAGGAAATAAGCAGGGCGGGCGGGAGGAGAGGCCTGGGTGCTCTCAGGATGAGCAGATGCAGAGCGGGCTGTTCTCCGAGCACCTGTCCGGCCCCCTGTGGGGGTGTGTACTCTCTGGAGGCCTGTCCTTAAAGCTTTCACCAGGCTGCAGGCTTCCCTTTCCTTTTCCCAGCCACGTCATCTCCCCTTGGCGTCCCTGTTTTTCTTGTACGTGTTGACGAATGCAAGCCTGCGTGTTTCATTACTGTCCGACTGTCAGCACCCTGGAGGCAAGGCTCACGTCTAGATGCAAAATTAGGAGAAGAGGATTGGCATGTACTTTGTGCTTCTGCTGGTGACATTTTGATATTTTATTCTTATTTTTAAAACCGCATACTTATTAAAATGCCGCTGAAGGAAATTGACCTCCCACTGTTTCATCACCTTAGCATAGTTGTCTTCATTTTTGTATTACCTTCTACTCATTTCAGACATGTTTTTAACAAAATGCTAACCTAAAACACATGCTCTTCTGTATTCTCCCTTTTTCAATGTTTCCTTCATATCGACATAATCTTTATATGTCTTCATCACAAGAACAATGTATCTTTCAATCAGTTCATTATAATTAACCCTTCAGCCCTAGCTGGTTTGGCTCAGTGGATAGAGCGTCGGCCTGAGGACTGAAGGATCCCGGGTTCAATTCCAGTCCAGGACATGTACCTTGGTTGCAGGCTCCCAGCCTTGGTTGGGGTTTGTGCGGGAGGCAACCAATTGATGTGTCTGTCACATCAATGTTTCTCTCTCTCTCACACTTCTATTCTCTCTAAAAGTCAATGGAAAAATGTCCTTGCATAAGAATAATAATTAAAAAAAAAAGATTAAAAAAATTTTAACCCTTCAATTGTTAGATAACTTGATTATTTCCGAGTAAATCAATATTTTTGTTCAAAATCTTTTTATTTGGTTTTAAAGTTATTTTCTTCGACTAAGTTTCCAGGGAAGGAATTTACTGAAGCAGATGGTTCAGATATTTTTTTATGGCTCTGGAGACTTAGACCAAATTACATTCTGGGAGGACTGTCTGGTCTGCAGTTCCCTCAGCCTGCCTCTGCAGAATTGGGTGTTATCTTTTTGTTATTATTGCCATTGACTCAATAGGTAGAAACAATACCTCATTATTAGTAGTACATTTCTAATAATAAGTGGGGGTAATAATGTTTTAGAAACATGATTTCCACTCTGAGATTTGGGCCTTTTTCCTTGGTTGCCCCGGTTATAGTACGGGGAAGGGAAGGGAGGCTCCTGTGTGTTAGGTGCTTTTGTAAAGCGCCCATCCATGTGTGCTAGTGCACTGGGTGCAGCACAGGAGTCTGAAGAGACGTGCCTGCCCCGGGTGAGACACCGGGTGCGGTTTGGTAAAAGCAGGCAGGGGAAGGCCCTGCAGACTGCTTGGCCTGCCGAACGCTGTGATCCAGGAGACCTGGGGCCCAGTGTGGCGTGTCAGGAAAGAACTCACTTAGCAAGTGGTTTTCCCTCGAAGTCTGTCTGTCCCAGGCATTTTTTTCCATGAAGCCTCCATCGTGAAGACTCCACTTGGAGGTCCAGGGAGCAGTCTGTGGCTCTGCCCGGGGCCCTGGTAATGAAGCAGTTACACTTTCCAAGGAGTGCTAGCCAGAGGTCAGCATAGGGTAGCCTATGGCCTGCTTTTGTGGGCCCATGAGCTAAGAATGGTTTTTATGTTTCCAGGTGATTGAAAAAACACACCGAAAAATGCTATTTTGTAATATGTGAAAATTACAAGAAATTCAAATTTCAGTTCCAAAAATAAAGTTTTACTGGGACACAGCCACACTCAGCCATTTACAGATTATCTGTGGCTGCTTTCTTGCTGCAGAGCAGAGTTGAGTAGTTGCAGCAGAGACCATGTGGTCCACAAACCTAAAGTATTTACTCTTGGCCCTTTATCCACCAAGTTTGCCAACCCTTAATCTAGTTGAGAGCTTTCTAGGAGGGGGCAGGAAGAGAAAGGGTGGAGGGGATGTTTCTGACTCATTCCTAGGCTGCCCCAGTCAAATGGAGGCCACAGGCAGGCCTCCTGGGCAAAATTCCAAGTTCCCTTTGGGCACTGTCTCCTCCCCTCCCCCACCCCCAGGCAGAAGCCTCCTGATGCCCTTTGAAGACCGTGGAGACCTGGAGCCCCTGGAGCTGGTGTGGGCCAAGTGCCGAGGCTATCCCTCCTACCCTGCCTTGGTGAGTCTGCCCCGATGCCACCTCCTCCCTCCCTGGGCAATTCTGGCCCCTGCCTTGCCCCAGGGGCTTATCTGATTGGATCAAGCCATCAGAGTGTGGTGGGAGTCAGGGTGCCTTCCAGCCTTGGGTGGGTCAAACCAACAAGGCTCCCAGCTTGGGAAAACAGAGACGAGCTCTTAGGGATGTATTTGCAAATGCTTAAAACTAATATGTGCTCGTTATAAAAAATCTTAAAAGCTGCTAATCATGCTTAGGTGTTTTTTTTAAACATTTGTCATGCTAATTGGAATACTGAGGGAAGGTATGGTTATTTTCATTTCTATGGGGGGAAACTGAGGATCCGTTTGTTACTCTTGTCATCTGGCTATTAAGTGGCAGGGTTGCAATTTGAGTCAGAGCTTAACATGTGTGATGCCTGTGTTCTGAGCCACTGAGTTCAAAATCACCTAAAGTCCCATCTGTTCAGAGATGACCTTGGTGTATATCCACTCAGTCTTTTTGTTGTTGTTCAACGCGTACATATGTGCACATCTTAAGACCATGGTCTGTTTAACCTCCCTTTCACTTAACTGCATGTCTCATGCCTTCACTCTTCATCAATATCACATTAATGACAACATTGTCTTCAGTCCTGTGCATGTACTTACCTTATCTTAACCATTCCCTAATTGCTCATTTAAGTTGTTTTGGATTTTTCACTATGATAAATAACCAGCAAGGAATATTGTAGTTTTGCCTTTGTGCATATCCCTGATTATTTCTTTTCAGGGAATTCTTAGGAGTGCCTTCTTGAAGCAAAGTCGATAAAAATTGCCAGGGTGCCCTTTAAAAAGTTCCAGGTTATGCTCCTACCAGTAGTAGCTAAAAATTTTATTTTTATAATTGACTGTTATTTCTTAGAACTCTTTATGTATTGGGGAGGTCATGTCCATCTGGCCCTGGAAGACGCTGCTTCTAACTTTGGGGCTTGTCAGAATCGTCCAGGGGAATTTTTTAAACAATGCAGATACTGATGGTCCATCTCAGAACTACCACATTAGACTCTCTGAGGCCAGGTGGACATGACTATTTCTTAAAAGCTTCCCAGATGATTTATAGACAAGTTTGAGAACCTCCACTAACCTCGTGCGTGCACACAGAGCTCATTCATGTGTGCCTCTTAAAGGAGGGTAAGATCCTTACTGGACAGGCAAGGAAACTGAAGCTCTGAGGTTGTACACCTTGCGGGAGCCCCACTGGAACCCAGGTGGCCTGCCTCCCTGCCTCAGCCATGGCAGGCGTTGGAATCCATGCTGTCATCCGCCCCCTGAGGAGGCGGGGCCCAGGCTGTCCTCCCAGTGCCTGTGCCCTGCTATTCCTGAGACTCCCAGCTTGGTCTCTGGAGAAGTGATCAAGGCTGCCCAGGTTTTGTTGTTTTTAATGTCACTGCAAAAAAGCCACTAAAACTAATCTTTTTTTTTTCTTCCTAATTACCTTCTTAATGATACATTTTCTTTCGTGATCAAAGAAATTCAACCATCACCTGAATCCAGTCACCTGAACACAACCTGTGCTATTTTGGTTTATGCTCTACTATGGTTTCCTAAATATGTACAGTTGACCTTCGAAGATGTGTTTGAGCTGTGTGAGTCCACTCACACCTGCATTTTATTTTTTTTTCTCAATACACACAGCTGGCCCTCTGTAGACCCAGGGTTCCCATCTGCAGATGCAGAGGGCTGACTGAGTGAGGGTCTTGACCATCCTCGGATTTTGGTAACCTCAAGGGTCCTGGAACCTTCCCCCATGGATACCAAGAGACAAATGTAGTTAACTTTTGAGGGAATCCGAAGCTGCACTCAGATTTCCACTGCACACACGGTCATGTCTCTAACTCCGTGCTCAAGGACCAGCTGTACTTGCGTCCAGAGTGGGTATACAGTTTTTAAATTTAGGATTTTTGTAATGGTTTTTGCTTTTCTATAAAGTAATGTATCTAATTATAGTAGTTTTGGGAAAATAGAGAAAAGCCATTTAATTCCCCACTATTCTAACATGCCAACTGTAAGCACTTTGTGCTGTTCCTTCTGTTGGTTGTTTATATATTACAGCTGTAATAACGAATGCACACATTTACTATGTTAAAGTTTATCACAAACTTTATTTCCATGTCATTTTACATCTGCATTTACAAATGGACCGTCCTTTATTACCTGGGGGCCCATTTGCCTCAGTGGCAGCTTACCCACCTTGCTTCTGCCTTGAGGGACATTCCTCACCGTCCACCCCACCGCCCATGACCAGCATGGCTGAGTCCAGGGGAAACATCAGGGTAATGGAGGAAGCTCAGGAGCTTGTATGTTGGTTTCCATTAGGACCTGAGCATCAGTCCCAGGAGGGACAGACAGGCTGGGACGGGGTGGGAGTGGTTCCTCTTTGGAGTAAACTCTTAACCAGAGCGCCTGTTTTCAGCTGCTTGTCTCGAGAGGGATGTAGTGAGGCTGGCCGACACCCAGAGGTAACTAAAAGCGGTTTATTGTGGAAGAGGCCCCTGGGTCAGGGCTGGAAGTTCAGATTGCTCCATCTTGGAAGAAAGCTGCTCCTTTAGTAGGTTTCCAAGTCCCTCTGGCATCAGCACACGCAACGGCCAGCCAGTTGCTCTGGAGGGGGGGCTGTGCAGGCAGTGGGCAGCAGAGGCCCAGGCGTGTCCAGGTGCTTGGGCTCAATCCCAGCCGAGGCCTCAAGCAGCTACAACTCCTTCTGTGCTTGGCTGTTTCCTCTCGGCTAATAGCTGTCCGGACTTCTCAGCACCAGCACGAGGATGACATGAGCTGGCCACGTGTGACTAATGGTGGCTTTGTTGGTGCTCCACGGCGCTGGAGAACTGGTGGTTGATTACCGGGCATTTTGCCGAGCCCCTGCCCTGTGCCACATGCAGCCCTGAGGACTCATTAGTCCAGTGGCCCTGGTTTCAGCCACGCCATTGTTCCTTCCCAGCAACCCAAGCTCAGTCTTCCTGCTTCTCTCTTATCTTACGTGGAGGTGCCACAATGTACCTGGTCCACACACCAGCGAGTTACAGTCAGGCAAGAAGGCGGTGGATAAGCAGAGGCTGTTAGGCTAGAACTGAAGGCTGGGCTCCTGCTGACGCAGAGCCTCTTCACAGCTGGGCGTCTGGGAAGGCCTGAGCCTCGGAAGTGAATTGTGGGGTTCTAAAGGAAAACTGCCTTCACCCCCTCCTCTCAGGGACCCTGGGGGGAAGGAGTCTGCCTGTCGGCGCTGGACATCAGAGGCACCCACCCCCTTGTCTCCCCCAGGCTGGGCTCCCGTCACTTCTGTTCTAGCTCCCGGCCCTGACAGTTCGGGGAGCAAGCTTCTCCCTCTGCTGAAGGACTGGGTGGGCAGGGCCAGAGGATTAGGACAGAGCTGGGGAAATAGTCTCCATTTTGGGGTACTGAGAGTCGTGGAAGAAGTCTACCTCTGTCGCTTGGTTGTGGGGTGATTTGGGGGTCAGTCCTGGGGCGGGCTGCCCTGCTCACCCCGTCCACCCCGAGCTGAGTGCCATCTCCTTTCCCACCTCCAGATCATCGATCCCCAGATGCCCCGGGACGGCCTCCTGCACAATGGTGTCCCCATCCCTGTCCCCCCACTGGATGTGCTGAAGCTGGGGGAGCAGAAACAGGCCGAGGCTGGAGAGAAGCTCTTCCTTGTCCTCTTTTTTGACAACAAGCGCACCTGGTGAGTGGGCACTGCTGCTGGGAGGGTGCAGGGTGCAGGCTGAGTTGCTGAGAGGCGCCAGCAGCTGGCCTGCACTTGCCATGTTAGTAGTAACTTAGTGTTACTAGCAACACCGATTAGTAGTGCTAATAGTAACTGAGACCAGATTCCCTGGGAAAGCTCTGACATGGCAGTTTGATTGAGGAGGCTTACTGGGGAGAGCCGTGGGGACGGGGGACACAGCATTGGGGGAGCTGTGGGGATGAAGGACGTGAGGAACGCAGCTTTGGGGAAGCTGTGGGATGAGGGACGGGAGGGGGGACACAACATTGGGAGAAGGAAATATTGAACTGCATGCAATGCTCTTGCCCTGGAGGTTTCAGCTGACCTTATGGGGAACTCTGGAGCTGGGCAGCTCGGTAGCCATGTCAGAAATTGAGGCTGTGCCTTTGTACCCCCAGACCAGCTAGACATTGAGTGCTGGCTGCCCCCGGGCAGGGAGGGACCTTGGGCAGGCAGCTCCCGCTTGGTAGGTGATTTCTGGAGAGAACCCAGCGGAGAGCCCGTAGCTGCCGGACTCCCAGTGGCTGCAGGAATTCTGTTTCGGTCCTGGCCAGGGGCTGATCGTGCTGTTGGTTGCACTTCAGGCTTCTCTCAGCACCAGCAGGAGCTTCACCTTCGCTTCCACAGAATGAGGCAGTAGGAGGAGCTAGTGAGAGTGATAATAACGATGAAAATAGCTGCCATGTATGTGATTCCTCAGTGTCCTTAATGTGAATTACTTTGCATTTGTCCTCATTTATACAGAGGAGGAAAGCCAGGGCTCCACAGTCTAACTAAGATCTCACCTGAAGGATGGGCTCTGAGCCACAGGTTGGAGTCACCTGGTGATATATTTTTAAAAAGTACCAGGTTCAGGTCCCCAGGGATCAGTTGATTAATGCTGGCATCAGCCCCACTTCCTAGCAGAACTCCCCGATTCTGCAAGGGCAAGCCTGGAGCCCTCCGATGGCCCAGCCAGGCCCAGAGGCAGCACTGGGCCGTCCTGGCTCTTGCCCTGACTACCTCCCGAGCAGAGGGGGCTGACCGCAAAAACAGGTCTCCTGGTGGCCTTTCTGAGGCGTCCCAGTCTGCTCCCTCTGCCTGTCCCTTCCCTACTGTGTGCTGGTCCTGAGGGCACCTTCGTGGGACCCACTCACCAAGGCCCAGGCATCTCACTGTTATTGTGTTTTAGGCAGTGGCTTCCGAGAGACAAAGTCCTGCCCCTGGGCGTGGAGGACACCGTGGACAAGCTCAAGATGCTGGAAGGTCGCAAGACTAGCATCCGCAAGTCGGTGCAGGTGGCCTACGACCGAGCAATGATCCACCTGAGCCGTGTCCGCGGGCCCCACTCCTTCGTCCCCTCCAGCTACCTGTAAGGGCGGGCCGCCCAGCCTCTGTCCCCTTCACAGCAGGCCGGGGGCTGTCTGGGCTGGGGGCCCAGTTTTGACAAACTGCATGGTCCCCTGTTGGGCCTACTGTGTGCCAAAATCTCCCACCTGAGCTCCCTCAGGGGCTGGTCCACTGAAGAACCAGTTAGAAGTAGAAGCAGCTGGGAGGCCCAGCAAGGAGGGGGACCTGGCCTCAGGCGCAGGGGTCCCGTGCTCTTCAGGGTGTGCGACCCCTCCACCCCACTCCCAGGTAACACACCTCAGGTGAGCGAGGCGCTGACATTGACCCCAGAGGTGCTGTGGGTACACTCGGGTCCCGTGGGGAATGTCAGTGTGCTCACCCCCCCCCCCCCCAAATCCTCCAATCACCCATTCTCACACCTCTTCCCTGTCCCGCCTGCACCCTCCGCCCAGTCTTTCCCCTCTTCCTTTCCTTTCTCTTGTGCCAAACTGACAGAAACCATTACCAAATTGGTCTTTGTGTTTCCCTTTGAGGCCAGCTGCTATGCTAGGTGGGTGCCTCCGCCTGGCTCCTCGGGTCCCAGAACAAGAGGCCAGCCTGCCACTCGGGTGACCCCTCCACCAGCACATGCTCCCTGCCCCCCCCCCCCCCCCCCGCTGACGCTTACGTCTGCAGACACCCCGCTGTGAGAGCTTCCCTCTGGATTGAGGGGGGCCTCCTGCCCTCGTCCTGTCTGGCCAACAGGCAGGTTGAGGCTAAGGCTGGGCGGCTCCTGGCAGCGGGGCTGCACGTGGGAGTGTCCGCCTGCCCACGTGGAGGCTGTGGCTTGTTGAGGTGGGGCCCCTCTGCCCTTCCTTCTTCCTCTCCGTCCCTGGGGCCTCTTGTTTCCTGCAGCGGCGCCCTCCAGCCCGTCCACCCCGCGGACGGCGTGGTGCCTGCAGTGCAGCGTCTTCCGGCCCAGCCCAGCCTGGCCACCCACTTCCCAATCCCGGGAAGCCTGCACTTTTATTCCAGACCCTCTGCCCTCCCTCTTTCTCCTCAACCCCTCCCACCACCACCTTCTCAGAAACGGAAGGAAAAAAGCTGTGAAACGGGAAGCTGACTGACAAAGCAGGAGTTGCAGAGGCTCCGATGTTCTCGGTGTTTCCTCTCACCTCTTAGGCACCAAAGTCTCGGGCCAGGTGCAGGCCGCCGATCGCCATGTTGATTTTCCCCCCCGATGTTCTTTTTCATTGTTTTGAATTTTTCATAGGGGAGTTTTGGACAAAACGAAGTCACTGGGGAGATTACTGCCATTTTTACACACATGAGTTTTTAAAAATACAATCAACCAACCACCACAACTTCTTATACATTTCGGACACGAGCCAGAGTCTTAAATGGAAGCAACAGAACCAGAACACAAAGGATGGGGTTGGTTTTGTACAATACTCAAAATACAACGCAGCCCGTGGCGAGGGAAGGACACGGTGTACATAATTGTAAAATACTGCTCTAAATTATTCAGGCCTATAGTTCCCATGACTAGTCCTCCATTGTGTGGCTGAGTATTTAAGTGCACACAGTGTGGTATTTAAGGAGCCAGTGCACCCCTCTCCCCAGGTAGTCAGTCGGCTGTGGACTCTGTGACCTTCGTCTCAACCTGTGTTGTAAGATCTCGGGGCTTTCTCTATTTCTCCTCTTTCTGTGTGTGTATCTCTCTCTCTCTCTCTCTCTCTCTCTCTCTCTCTTTCTTTCTCTCTCTCTCCTCTCTTCTCTCTCTCTCTCTCTCTCTCTCTCTCTCTCTCTCTCTCTCTCTCTCTCTTTCTCTCCTCTCAATCTCTCTCTGAGTCTCATTTTGAAAATGGCGCTTTTGGAATGGGAAACGCTCAGATCCTGCTGTGGCGTGGGGCCTGTGTGCCTCAGTCGCATCTGCTGTGAAGCACACGATGCTCTATTTATTGTAGAAAGTGACTTTATTTGCTTTCTAGAATTGTTTATAACAGATGGTATAAGAGAGGTAATAAACAGAAAATCTATGCTTGTAAAGGGTACAGAAGTTAATTTTACCTACTATAATATGACTGTCTGAAATTATTTTCTCTCTGAGAAATAAATGTTCTAATGGGCAGCAGTTGCCGGGTCGCGTTTGGTGTCATCTGTGGGCGGCTGTACCTCTCTCCTGAACTCCTCCAGCCCCCCTCCTCAGGCCAGGGCCATCAAGAATGGAGTTGTCTAGGCCGGCTGGTATAGATGCAGAGGGCTGGGTTTTGTTGCTTTAGATACAACCTTATATGTAGTAATTAAGATGCACAAGCCTACGTTTAAACTCCATGAATTTTTACGTGTGTATACATCCAGGAACCCACTGGCCAGCTCACAGTACAGAGCACGCCCTGTGCCCCAGGGGAACTGCTGCCTCGAGTTTTGTGAGTGCTGAGCAGGATGCCTGGTTCTGACCCTCAGGCGATGGAATCCCGCAGGGTGTGCTCTTTCTGTCCGGCTTCTTCCATGCAGCACCATGTCTCTGAACGCCTCCCGCTTTGCATGTCACTGCAGTGTGCCCTGGACTGCCGAGTAGCAGTGCATGTATAAGCACCTTGGAGTTTGTTGAACCAGTCTGGCTGGGGCTGTGGTGAACAGCCTGCTGTGGACATTCTTGTCCGTGTCCTATGATGGACATCCCAGGAGCAGAACTGCCAGGCCATGGGACAGGTGTGTGTTCAGCCCAGCAGACTCTGCCAACAGCTTTCCACCAGCTGCACAACTCGCACCCACAGCCGGCTGTGCACGTCCACCGGCTGCACAACTCGCACCCCACGCCAGCTGTGCGCGTCCAGTGGCTCCACTAACTCGCCAACACTAGTGTCCAGCCCCTGGCATTTGCTCCAGACCTGCTTGTCGAACAGCTCCTCTAAGCCCCCTCATACAGCTCGGCTTCTCTCTTCCTTAATAACAGTCCTGGCCCCTGGAGTGTGTTATGAACCAAAGGTGCTTGCCAATGGGGGAGCCCCTCACGGAGGGGAAGAAGGGGGCATGAGAGCTGCCCCATCCCCTCAGCGCTGCCTCCAGGCCCCTCACTGGCTCCATGGGGAATAAGGTAGTTCTTAGCGGGAATAACAACCCTCCTGGCCCCTCCTCATCGCTGGCCAGTGGGCTGGGGCCGCTCTCTTCCACAGCCCAGCCCCACCACGTGGTCCTGAGGCCTCCTCCCAGCAGCAGCAGCACCCCTTCTCCTGGCTCCCGTCCTCCCCTGCCGCTGGCTGGTGCCTCAGGACCCATGGGCATCTCCTGCCTGTGCCTCTCAAGGCCATGATCCTTGGGGCCATGCCTGTGACCCTGCTTTCCTTTGAGTCACGGGTATTCCGGTGTGAAAAGAATGTGGGGCAGCAGAGCAGGGACCCCGAGTCCGTGAGGGGAGGATTGGAAAGGATGAAAGGACCCTGCTGGCTGACTTCGGTGACTCAGGCACATGTCCGTCACGGGGATGAAGGCTCAGAGGACTCTGAAGCAATGCCAGAGGAGTTGCTCAGATCCCGGGGGGAGGGGGGGGGGGTCCGAGATAAGAAGGCAGGGTCAGGGAAAGAGCCTGCAAGCCCCGTCTGGGAACGAAGGACTGCAGAGCCATCCCCGGCAGCTGCTGGACGCTGGCCCAGTCCTTGGCGTCCTTGGGTCAGATCTGGCCTGGGGGACACAAGGCCCAGATCCTGGCGGCTGGAGGGACCCCTGGCTCCGCTTAGTAATACTGAGCAGATGAAATACCCTCCCCACCTCTCCCTCCCCAGAGCACATGCCCTTCTTCCTTTAAAGTCCTGCCACATGTTTACACACGTTTACATCACCATACAGAAGTCTAGTGTGGTCTCACCTTTCTGGATTTTGAAGAGAGATGTCTACTGCATGAATTCTTCTACAACTTCCTTTTACACACACACCCCCCCCCTCCACACACACACACACACACACACACACAATTCAGGCATGCTGGTGTTCAGCTGCGGTTAGCTCATTTTCACTCCAGTATGGAGTTCCTTGCACTAAGATTGCACGTTTAATTTTTTGTTGTACTGTTTAAGGACATTTGGGTAGCTTCCAATATTTGCTTCTATAATAGAAACAGTGCTGGTGTGAATTTTTCTTTTTCAATTACAGTTGACATTCAATATTATAGTAGTTTCAGGTGTACAGTGCAGCAGTTAAACATTTATGTAACTTACAAAGTAATCCCCGATAAGTCAAGTACTCACCTGGCACCATACACAGTTATTATAATACTACAGGTCTGGTGCACGAAATTCGTGCATGGGGGGAGGGGGGTGTTGTCCCTCAGCCCAGTCTGCACCCTCTCCAATCCGGGACTGCTGGCTCCCAACTACTTGCCTGCTTGCCTTCCTAATTGCCGTAACTGCTTCTGTCTGCCAGCCTGATTACCCCCTAACCACTCCCCTGACAGCCTGATTGATGCCTAACTACTCCCCTACAGGCCTGGTCACTCCTAACTGCCCTCCCCTGCAGGCTTGGTCAACCCTAACTGCTCTTCCCTGAATGCCTGGTCACCCCTAACTGCCCTTCCCTGCTGGCCTGGTACCTCCAAACTGCTCTCCCTTGTAGGCCTGGGTCCCCCCACAACTGCCCTTCCCTGCAGGCCCAGTCGTCCCAAATTTCCCTCCTCTGCTAGCCTGGTTACCCCTAAATGCCCTCCCCTGCAGCTTGATCACCCCTGACTGCCCTCCCTTACAGGCCTGGTTCCTCCCAACTGCCCTCCCCTGCTGGCCTGATCACCCACAACTGCCCTCCCTTGCAGGCCTGCTCCGTCCCCACTGCCCTCCCCTGCTGGTCATCTTGTCATGGCCATCTTGTGTCCACATGGGGGCAGCCATCTTGTGTGTTGGAGTGATGGTCAATTTGCATATTACTCTTTTATTAGATAGGATTGACTATATTCTCTCAGCTGTACTTTACATCTTTGTCACTGCCAATTTGTACTTCTTAATCCCTTCACCATTTTCACTTAGCCCCCTAACCTTCCCATCTGGCAATATCAATCTGTTCTCTGTGTCTATTTTGATTGTTCATTTATTTTTATTTTTTGGACTAGGGGCCCAGTGCACAATATTCATGCACGGTGCATTGCAAGGTGGATGGGGTCCCTCAGCCTGGCCTGTATCCTTTCCAATCTGGGACATTCCTCTCACAATCCAGGATTGCTGGCTCCCAATTGCTCAACTGCCTGCCTGCCTGATCGCCCCTAACCCCTCTGCCTTCCTGCCTGATTGCCCCTAACCACTCTTCCTGCCTTCCTGATTGCCCCTACCTGCCTCTGTCTGCTGGCCTGATTGCCTCTAACTGCTCTCCCCTGCCAGCCTGATCATCCCTAACCACCTCTGCCTCAGCCCCTGCCACCGTGGCTTTGTCCAGAAGAACATCCAGAAGACGTCCAGTCTATCTGGTCTAATTAGCATATTACCCTTTTATTAGTATAGATAACATATATAAGTAAAATCATATGGTACTTGTCTTTCTTGCACATTTCACTTAGTATAATACCCTGTAGGTCCATCCATGTTGCTGCATATGGTAAGATTTTATTCTTTTTACTTTAAAAAAAATATTTTTAATCCTCACCTGAGTATATGCTTTTTTACTGATTTTAGAGAAGGGGGAGGGAGGAAGAAGAGAGAGAGAGCAAAAGAGAGAGAGGAACATCAATGTATGAGAAAAACACCAATCAGCTGTCTCCTGTACTCACTATGACGGGATCAAACCAGTAACCCTTAGGTGCAGCGGTTGCCAACCTTTCGGACCTCCTAGACCAGCAGTGGTCCATGGACCACCAGTCGGTGACCGCTATTTTTGTGCACAGGATGATGCAACCAAGCTGCACACCGGCCAGAGCTAGAATTCTTTTTTTATGTTCAAGCAATATTCCATTGTGTATATGCACCATCTCTTCTTCTGCCATCAATCATCTATTGATGGCACTTAAGTTGCTTCCATATCTTGGCTACGGTATAAGGAAATATACCATATGCGGCTCTTGTTAAAGCCTCTGTTTTAAAGTCTGTTTTGTCTGACATAAATATTGCTACCTCAGCTTTTTTTGTTTGTTTGTTTCTATTTGCATGAAATATATTTTTCCATCTCTTTATTTTCAGTCTGTGTGTGCCTTTCAATCTGAAGTGGGTCTTTTTTAGGCAGCATATGTGTGGGTCTTGTTTTCTTATCCATTCAGCTACCCTATGTCTTTTGATTAGAGCATTTAATGCTTTTCGTTTAAAGTAATTAGTTACTTTATTATTGCTATTTTATTATTCATATTTTAAATTTTCTTTTCTTCTTCTTGTAATACTGGTTTGGTGTTGATGAACTCCTTTTGCTTTTTCATGTCTGGGAATCTCTTTATCTGTTCCTTTGACTCTAAATGAGAGCATTGCTGGGTCAAGTAGTTCTGGTTGTAGGTCCTTGCTTTTCATCACTTCGAATATTTCATGCCAATCCTTTTTGTCCTGGAATGTTTCTGTTTTGCAATCAGCTGACAGTCATATGGAAAAACTCCTTTGAAGGTAACTGTCTCTCTTGCTGATTTTAAGATTCTCTCTTTGTCTTTAACCTTTGGCATTTTAATTATGATGTGTATTGGTATGGGACTCTTTGGGTCCATTTTGTTTGGGACTTTCTGTGCTTCCTGGACTTGTATGTCTATTTCTTTACCAGGTTAGGGGAAGTTTTCAGTCATTATTTTTTTTCCAAATAAGTTTTTAGCCCTTTGTTCTCTCTTGTCCCGCTATAATGTGAATGTTCTTACACTTGATGTCCCAAAGGTCCCTTAGACTATCCTAATTTCTTGAAATTCTTTTTTCTTTTTGCTGTTCTGATTGGGTGTTTTCTGCTACCTTTTCTCCAAAATTGCTGATTCAATTCTCTAAATGAAT